ACTTTTCGAGTGTTCGAGTTGAAAACCTCATCACCGAGATCAGGAATCAGATTTTGCTCCGGCCGGGCCGTCATTGTCGGGTTCATCGCACCTGACATTATGGCGTTCTCGTTGGCTGAATTCTTTATTTCCTTTCTCATTTGGCCGACGAGCGAGGTCGAGCGACTCCTTGATTATCGGCGTACGAAAGTCAAGGCCTCTCTTCGGGAGACTCGGTCTTGCCCAAGGTTGTCGGCAACCTTCTTCCATCGTGGATGACACGAGCGGACGGACCAGACGGATCGTACCGGTAATTCATGAATAGTTACAAAAAATGCCGACACTTTAGACGAGAATAAACCTACGCGACCGGTTTTTCATGCTCTTTTATGCCTTTTAAGAGTTCTCTCCTGTTAATAAATATAATAGTGATAATCATTTTTCTTATTTATATATTAACGAATAAAAGTATGAATCCGAGAAGATCGTGTCAGGATTTCGTATCAATTTGGCTTTTCGTGAAAAATTCCACTAATTTTTTTCGACGTCATTTGAACATTTTGTCACATCCATTGCACTCGTCGATTAATTAGCACGATGTGTCCAATTAAATTAATTGAGTTTACATAGGATGTGGGAGAGAGAGAGAGAGAGAGAGAGAGAGAGAGAGAGAGAGAGAGAGAAGAAGCGCGATCCAATACACACCAGGTCAAATGAAAATAACTGTAACCCTTCATCGGAAAACTTGTCCGTAGCTTGGTCAGCATTAATTGGCTTCCTTTGTCACGTTTTTTCCTTTTGCGTTAATCGGAAAAAATAACCGTTTTTGCATCGTGATCACGTTTATCGTCGTGGCGAAATGACGCGCGCGTAAAATCACGTTGATTAGAGGGAGTACGCGAGTCGGCTAATTTCGTTGATAAAGGACATTAAATAATTGGGATATTCATAAGTGGCTCGCTGATGGACTTTAATTAGCAGGCGTTTCCGCACGCGCACGGCTAATTAATTGCTCGGTATAACTGAATTCACGGATTTATTCCGGCTCTCGCCGGGATTTTATCGATGGTGGTGGACAAGCGACAAAGCTGACTTATAACGCGTGATTGACACAATATCGCAAATGCAGACTAACAAGATGTTTCGCCGTATAATGTTTCAATAGAATGCAATTCGCGCGGCAGATTAACTAGAAACTAATTAAGAGGCTTAAATGTGCGAATTCTGCACAATATCATTGACTAGTTTTGATCGCTTATAATATTTTATCTTTTTTATTATATTAATAACTATATTATATAATTTTTTATTGTATTACGTAATTAAAAACCTATTATGATCTCGACGTTTGCATATCGGGATTTTCGAGTCTAATTAGTTCAGTTTAAAAACATGCTATTAAAATATTGTGCGATGTTTGTAAAAGATGTGTATTTCTCTGTATATTTCTCAGAAGAATTTCTTTCCTTTCTGTAACATTTTTAGATCTTTAATATATTTAAAAAGTTCAAGATTAAATATTTTAATGCTTAAACCTTTAATGCTTGAACCTTTAATCTTTTAACAAAAAATGAAGTTTTATTTTTGATATACTTAAGATTCATCAAAATTTTTTAGCTTCAATAGCTGTCAGCTTCAATAGCTTTTTCGCAGTTTTCAGTAGCTTCTTTGCTTTCAATTTCTTGCTCAATGAACGAGAAATTACAGAACGCTGGTGATTTAGTCTTAATATATGATCTCTAAAATTCATTGATTTATAAATATTTGCATGCATTTATCCACTGGTTGGTCATCTATCGACTTTTCCTTTTAAACACGGTTTTTTTTTCGCCGGAAAGAAGACGGAAAGAAATACGAATTCATCTGTAATAATTTAACATTCGATTAAGCCGCGGTGCAGCTTGGCACGGCTAAATGAATTTTTCACGCTGCTTAAACAAGTGCACGTGAAGATTCCGGCTTGACGAGAGAGAGAGAGAGAGAGAGAGAGAGAGCTTTCGGGATGCGAGTTAATCGCGTGCGAACGGATACGATAATAAGAGCGGCTATACCGCAAACCCGGCCGAGGGACTTTAATTACGAGGCGAACACGCTCCCCGGTGTCGCCAGCCACCCCCCAGACGATGGATTACCCCCTCGGCAATATTACCGAGTTTTATTGCCGCGAAGATCGAGACCCGAATGCGCTCGCGGCACGACTCACATTCAGGGCCGATCGTGTGTGTGATTCGACACGATTCCAGAAGTGATCCTACAGTTTTAGGTTGATATTTCATATGTCGTATGACAAATTTTTTAAGCATGTTAATTGCGGGATAGACAAGTCTCGAGTTTCTAGAAATCTTCTATCTTGTAGCCAATGTAGCCAATTAGTAAGGCCCGACAAAGCTTGTTGTACGACACATGAAATAGCAGGCTTAGACATTACGTGCGTGTAAAAAATTATGTAAATTACCAGATATATCTGGGAATTCAAATAGACCATGGTCCAACCGCTAGTAGGTCAGTAAACCGCTTTATTTTCTATATAATTTTATTTCATCACGCACGTCTGCGAGGATATTCCGTAATAATGAATTTTCCGATAACTTGTTGTCGCATCGTAACGATCTGTTGCCTGACGGTCTTCTTTCAATTTCAATGAACGTCGCGAAAGAACGGGGAAGACTGAATCGAACGTTCTTCGAACTAACTGCCAATATGTTGCACCTTAAAATACACACACCGGGTCTTTTTTCAATGTACTTTCTGAAACAACGTAAACGAACAGTAAAGTCGATTCGTTGACAGGGATGGATCGGGAAACAACTGAAAGAATCTCGTTACGGCCCTGTTCGGCCGCTACCCTACCGTGCCATTTCTCACCTCTCCACGTTTCACCATTCTTGCGCGGGAGAGAAATCGCTTCCTTAAAGTAAGGCGAGAAAACAAAGGCAAACAGAAGAATAAGCTCTTGCGAAACCTCTCTATGAGTTAGGCCGATTTTCTACCGTAAAAAATAAACTAATTCAAGAAATGTAGAAAAGAAGAGAGATCACGTCGCTTTCTCGAACGCTTCGTATATCGACTAATTGAATCAGTGCTGATTAAAGCGCCATGTGCGTCACTTGTGTATTTATAAAACGAGCGAAGAATGCGATCGATTTGAAACACTGCTTCTATCGACATCATCCCGTTTACGATATTTACTCTCTAAAAATCGAAGAGTAAAAAATGAAATATCACTCAAAAGGAGTGAAATGCAAGTGTAATGAAAAGTGAAAGATGAGCCTGTGCACATCGAGTGATTCGCCATTCTAAGAAAGAGTATAAAAATTGCGCTCTATAAGTTGGAGTGAAATCGCACTCCATTAGAGTGAAAGGGCACTTTTTTCGATTGCAGTTAGATCAGTGTATAAGAATGAATTACGTCACTCTACAATTTTGAGTAGAAACTTTTACTTTGTTAGAGTCATTTATCAGTCGTCGATTTTTAGTGAATCGTGATTCACTATAACTTGTGATTGTATATCGCGTCGCTCTAAAAATTTGGGTGAAAAATCCACTCCTACCTTATGAGTGCCCGCATTTACTCAAATTAGAGTGACAACCCTCTCTTTTGGAATGACTGTCGCAATCTCTCTAATATATTAGTGGCGAAACCACTCTGTGAGATTTAGAGAGTACCAATCAATAACGTTACAGTTTACCGTTAAACTTGTCCGACCTTTCCCCTAACGAAGCAGTCTATCGGCTGTTAAATTCCTGCATGCTATAAATAATTAATTCGAGCTTCGAGAGACCTGCCTCTCTTGTCATCGTCATTATCGTCATTGTCATCATCTGCAAAATCCAAAATGGAAACTATAGAAATAATTATACATTTTCAGTCATAATATATCAACGTTACGTATAATCTCAGGTTTATATTATAAGATAAATTTTAAAATTAAGTATATCAAATTTTATAATGAGAATATTAAAAAAGCCTGGAGAAAATCGGAAAGTTTGAAAATTTTTTAATTTATAGAAGTTTACTTTTTAATAATATCATGAAGTTAATTATACCAAGTTTATGATATTATAAAGTTGCAATTTTTTATATTAGAAAGTCATTTTTTCTAAATTTCTCGATCTTTTGTAAATTTTTATTCTTGTAATTCTCTTAGACTTGTCATTACGTTTTTTTCTTAAGTGTTAAATGTTATTTAAAATATTAAATTATTAGTTAAATATTAAATAAAATTCGCACATACAATACATGGATTAAGCTGCAACGGATCCATAAAAATTTTTACGTTTCGCATTGTTCCATTAAGGAAATAAATTCGGTTATTATTCATCGCATTTGCGCGGAATACCGCGCGACCCGAATTTCATCGACGGGCATTTTCGACAAAATAATAACCGATTTTTGATTAAGCCTAATATAATCACCGTCCCGAAGTGCCCCGAATTTTCATCAGCAGAGAGAGAGAGAGAGAGAGAGAGAGAGAGTCGGGCGTGAATTTTCATCGGTACGAAAATTGGGTTCACGTCGACGCGACCGACGCAACGTGTCATGTCACAGCAACGGCGTCTCTGATGTTTTGTCAGCTTGTCATGCCGCCGAGAAAAATTCTTCCATCACTATCATTTTCGCAGTCTCGCACGAGCGAGACGACGGCGACGCGGCGATCTCGTGTCAATTTTCACGATCGATAAAAAGCCCCGCGTCCTCGTGATTAATTTTCATCGATGCTCGGTGACGTTGCTGCTGTTCCCGTCAAATTGACTGGCGAGCGAATCGAATTTAACGCCGACGGTTTTTCTAAACGAAATTATCCGAAATTCGCAAATATTTTCTATTATTCGAGTATGATTGAATTCTTCAGTGATCTTTAAAAACTTTTTGATATATCTAATATCTTATATCTCTTATTGCGTATTTCTTATCTGACAATAAAAACATAATTGATATTTTATTGATATTTATCTTTAAAACTTGAAGAGATTATAATTAAAATAGATTTATAATTTGCGACATATTGTTGTGCTTTCAGGCCTCAAGTACCTTCACTCGGCCCGAATTCTCCACAGGGACATTAAACCCGGGAACCTCTTAGTGAACAGCAATTGCGTGCTAAAAGTGAGTCTCGATCTAGATATCTCAGAATCTAAATGTTAATCTTGAACATAAATCTGTACCTTAGAGGTAAAGAATCGTATCTCTAGTTTTTGTCAAAATGGAGTTAATATACAGTTTTCAATATAATAGGTCCTTAAATTGTATAATGGTAAAGCGTCTTATGTCTATTATTACTAGTTCTTAGGATACAATGTTTAGGAAAAGTCGTATTAAAAATTTTTATATATAGTTCTTAATTTTTAAACTAGGTACAGCGTGGCAGTTGTACTATTAAATATGTCAGTTAAATTACTTTATTAAAATAAATCAAGTTGTTACTTTTACTTTAAATGTAAAAAATACATTATTTTTTTATTTAAAACTTTAAACCTTGTTTTCTCTCAATTCATAATAATGGAGATACGATTCTTTGCCTCTAACAACAGAAACATATTTCCTCCGATTGAACTCGACGATGAGAAAATACAGATAGCGGAGGATCTTTTTGACCCACATAAATGCTTTGTCCCAAATAGGAGCGATATTCTAAATTTAGCTACCTAGTCTATTCTATTTACGTCGAACAGCCAAGCGTTACTAGCGTGTCCTCTTTCTCCAGATCTGTGATTTCGGGTTGGCCCGGGTGGCGGAACCCGACCAGAACGTCCACATGACCCAGGAAGTGGTGACACAGTATTATCGCGCGCCGGAAATCCTGATGGGCGCGCGGCACTACACCGCCGCGGTGGACGTGTGGAGCGTCGGCTGCATCTTCGGCGAGCTCCTACGCCGGCGGATCCTCTTCCAGGCCCAAAGCCCCGTGCAACAGGTGAGCGGAGCGGACCTCTCGAAAAATTCGACTTGCGTCTTTCCTCAGGATGAAGGGCCTCACGTCACACGTTGAACCTGGCGTATAATCCCGGCTATGCGAGATATCAGTAGAGAGATATCTCAGTCAGAGAGTTAGAGAGTTACCGCGAGTACTTTACGTCACTCGTGGAAGAAATCACTTCGCGATTACACTCTTAAATAATAAAGGGTGAAATTTGAACCAATACCTTGAGTTAAATAACATTTTGTTATTTTTAACTATTGTGTGTGTCGAAATTTATTATTTTAACACAAAACAGCATTTAGTTAAATTAACGACATATTGAGTAGGAGCAGTGGCGTCCTGTAGGAATGATTAAAAATGACTTAAATTGAGTATAATTTGGCACTACGAATTTAACGGTGTAAGCAATGAAAAAAATGCGCCTTCTTTCTTGATCGCAGCTCGAGTTAATCACGGAGCTGCTGGGTTCGCCCACTCTCGAGGAGATGAGGTATGCGTGCGAGGGCGCGAAGTCTCACATGCTGAGAAGGGCGCAGAAGCCGCCGTCGCTCGCGACCCTGTATAATCTTAGCAGCCAGGCGACGCACGAGGCCGTCCACTTGCTCTGCCAGATGCTAGTCTTCGATCCTGTAAGTTTGTCTCGCGCAAAAATAAATTTTTTTTCACTATTTCAGATCTTATTCCCTATTTTGATTTTATTTAATTTTATTCGGTAAATTAGTTTTAATTTTAATTTACATAATTTTTATACGTAAAATTATGGAAACTCAAAAATTTTCTTAGAACTTTTTACTTTTACACGGAGAGCATTTAGTTTACTTTATTTTATCGACAAAAATATTTCACAATTATATTTATCAATCATACCGTTTTTTTTTTTTTTTTTTTTTTTTATGAAACTACTATTTCTCTCCGCAAATTTATTTATTGCTTCAATCAATAATAATTAGTGCTGTCATGGATTTCACGTTTTATTGTCAATTTTAACTATAAATTCAATTGTATTTATTTATATTGAAAATGACCAAAACGAATGACCAATTCATACTCTATTTATTCACGATTGCTGAGATTCTCGTTTAGCCCGAATTTGGCTTTCATTTTATAATATATTTATCGACGTTCTCCCCCAACAATTATTGTGCTACGCAGGACAAGAGGATCACTGTGGTGGACGCCCTGGCGCATCCTTATCTGGACGAGGGTCGGCTTCGATATCATTCGTGCATGTGCACATGCTGTTACACGACGAGCGCCGGCATGAGACAGTACAGGGTGGATTTCGAGCCATCGGCCGCCCATCCGTTCGACGATCTCTGGGAGCGAAAGCTCACGAGCGTGCAGCAAGTGAAAGGTGAGAAATTCTGCCGCGTCGAAGATTCGATGTAAGAGACCAAGAAAAACGAGGAAAAAATGTTGCGCGAATGCCGTGTCTTTGGAGCATTTTATCTAGCGGGAAATATATTTATGAACATTCACGAAGATATTACGCAACATTTAATAATAACATGAATTTTGCGACGGTCATGGAACAAATATTGAAAATATCTTTTTCTATATTTTCTTAAATGACTAGTAAATTTAATTTATTCAATGATAAATAAGATTTAAATTTACTTGCGTGATTTATTTAGAATGCTATTTATAGCAGAAAACTTTTGATATTTGACTATTTGACCACAACCGTTTTTTTTTCACGTCGATATTTAATTGACTTTTTACGTCAAATCTTTCACGAAGTGCGATTGGCAGTTGGAGGTTCATTTTTGCGGTACAAATTGTAGAATGAAGCCAATATATTGTTTCGAGAATATATGTCTCAGGGAATATCGCGCGTATCGTGGGTAGTGACGTACGCGGTAAGTATCTCAGGCACGTGCCTGCGCTATTCGAGAACAATAACCGCGATAAACACGCTCGCATGTGTGCGTGTCACGATAAATCATGGTTTATCTCAGCGCAGCGCCTGGTCGCTGAAAACCGTGGGGCTCTTGGGTATCTTTCCTCGCTGCTATAATCGTCAACGATGAAGCGGAGAGGAATGGCGGATCCAATAAGTAGAGTAAAAAAATACCGCTGTCATTATTCCTTTGTCCCGGCTCAGTTTAAAATAAAAGTTTAGCGACTTTCGCAAGTTTAGTCGTTAACATACAACGATTAACAGAAGCACGTAAAAACTTTGTAAAATTTAAAAGTATTACATGAAATTTTGAAAAACTGTTCTCGTACAGAGAGGTATTTAGAAGTCTCTAGTTCTTTTTTCTTTTAATTAATAACGATTGTGATAATAAATATATATACTGATTAAAATAATAAAATAAAAAAAATAAAATTGTACATATATACGCATACAACACCGACGAGAGCGAGGATAATTTATCTGCGTTTAGCGCTGACCGCGTATGAGAATATAAAGCATAGCGTTATTCAGAGTGTCGTTATCTCGACCGCGGGAAACTATATCGCGCCATCAACGTCCCGCCTCCCGTCATTCACTTATATATACCGGTACGTCGTTGTCTGTTTCAGAGGAGATGCACAAATTTATAGCGGAGCAGCTGAACACGTCGCGAGTGCCGCTCTGTATAAATCCGCAATCCGCGGCGTTCAAGAGCTTCGCGAGGTAAGCCACATCGTAGAGCGACATCCACGCGAATCGCCCTTGGCCGATCGGTACACGCGTTTTGTTCCAAAACTACCGAAGAAGATCAGAAAACAAGATTGATTAAAAGTTTAATTTAGCGGGACTTCGTGAGATTTTTATGTTGATTATTTGGAAAATAGTGGAAAATAGCGAGGAACGAGGAGACAATTTTGCTTCATCAAAATATTATACACAGTTGTAATAGCTTCTGTAATTTTGGAACATGCGATATGATATATATAGACCCATAAAAGTCCCTCTTTCGTATACAGGAAAATCACCAGAACTGATCGACGAAAGAAATACCCGAGAGAATTAAAAATAAAGAGAGAAAAAAAAAGAAGAGAAAACTTTTTCAACGCTCCCTCTTTTACCGTCCCTCGAAATTAATATTAAAGAAATCGATATCTCCCCTCCCGCGCACTCGTGCGTCTCCCACATCGCGATCCTATATCTTAAATCCTAGATTTAAAAAAACAGACAGGCTAATAATTCCCAAGAGAGTTCATAGAGGGGCGCACAGTGTTTCTTATCAATAGCAATCGAGTAGCACGAGCGGAATATATCGGGTGTTCGAAGAGTAGCGCTGACTAGAGCCGGCTGAGTCTTTCAACGCGCGCGTAACAAGGGAGAGAGTAAATTTCAAAATCGATCAGAGACGGAGAGACGAGTCGAAAGGAAAAAAAAGAAAAAGGGGGGGGCCTTCCGTCCTGGCGATCCTCTTGCTGACGTCCACAAAGGACGCTGTCGTAGTTTTTGACGTTGTTCCGAGGAAAAATAAGATATAAAGTCTAAGATATATGTGCATTTCTCACGTAACCCTGTCGGCCCACTGTGATACAATCGCTATATATGTGATCTCTCGATATAGCGGAGGAGCAGAAATCAAGTAGATAAGGAACTGATAGTTATCAATATCGCCGAACGGAAAATTAGAACGATATTTTAAAGCTGTGGATGTGAAAGGTACACAAGTATGTATACTGTTTTTTCGTATTTTCTGTTTCTTTTCACGTGTACACTCTCTGACAAATTCGTAGTGTATTTCTTAGAATTATTAGAACGTTATCGTTTTCCGTTCAATTTGTAATAATGTAAAATATCTCTCTTTAGGTATTTTTTAAAATATGAAATTATGAAAATTCTATTCTGAAGTCTATTACAAATTCTCTGTAAATTTTCAAAAAGTGTTAATCGATGTTTATAAATAAGAAGACAGTTTCACATTTACGCGTTTAAATTTATCGCATTTCAGGGTAGGAAAATTTATTAAGAGTAATGAAAGCACCGTATTAACGGAATAATCAATTGGAGCAATCAATTTATTTCGTCATAAAATGATGGGGCAATATTTTATGATGTTTACCGAGAGACATTATAAATTCTCAGTATGACACACACATTATTTAACAATGAACTCAACGAAAATTATACGATAACAGATGTAAAAGAGACACAACGAAAATAATTCAAATAGAAATCCATTTTTGCTATCGCTGTATAATTTAATTTTATTAAATATTTAAACATTTTACTAATACTCGAGTTTTGCGTAATTTAGGACAGTCTTCAAGTTTGTACTCTAGAATATCGTTCTAGTTTTCTCTCTGCGATATTGAGACGAAGAGACATATCTCTAATAGTAACAGACTATGTGATATTTATCCCCAGATTACACTACTCAACAAAATTTAATTTTCTTTTTGTAGAAGTATAACAAAAACGAAGCGTAAAATCTTGAACTTTCGTGGCTCCCTGATTTCGAAATTGAAGATATCTACGTCTAGATTTTTTGTGTCGCAGATTGTTTTCTGTGATTAATGGTTTTGACATATTTAACAAAGTCTATAAAATATATTATTCTAAAAAATTTACTGCATAAAGATGTATTAAGCAACGAGCAATATTTACGAATAACAAATATAATTACAGTCATCTGAAAAATTCACTATAAATTCAATATATAAATTTGCCTGTAATTGGATCGATTCTTCGAATTATCTGGAATTATGAATAGCGAAAAGTTCGAAAATCTAGGCGTGACTCTTACGGCAAAATCCTTGAACAAAATCGGTCTAGATTTTATTCTCATTGTCTCCTCATTATCCAAAACGTGTAGAATAGGGACATTAACGAAAATATGTCTCGGGCCAGTCGATTTGACACTCAATACTTAAAGTAGCGTTATCGTCGCAACTTCTACAAGGTGTGTGTGTGTGTGTGTGTTGTTGAGTAGTGTTACTTGCAACTAATGCTGGATGTGTAACAATTGTACGTTCTTGCTTATTCTGCCGTCAAGTTAGAGCAAGCCGATCGCCGAACCAGCGCCCTGCGCCGCGTATACGTACACGTTACTACTACCACTACCGACTCAGCTATCTACCACTGTCAGCTACTATCGACTACTACCGCTATCGTCTACTACTACTACCGCTACCACTACTACTACCAATCGTGTTACGCCTCCTGAACGAACCGAACGAACCGAGAGTCAGCTATAGTCGGCGCGACCTCGCTCGCAGAGGTACATGATCCAGTCTATATTTTTTATAATACCAAGTATTATTGCCTTTTGCTTGCGTTACTGTCTCACCTTGGGTTCTCTGACCGCCCTTTGTTTACCTCATGATGTACATACGCCGTGCCACTGACATTTTGTCCAACATTTTGCCATGTGACCGATATACATGATGTGCCTTTAAAATCGCTCATAATCGTCGGTCCTTTTCCGATTTTCGATTATATGAGCGATAAACGCATGTATAAATAAATTTAGCAACGATTATCACAAACGTTTATCTGTACACGCTTAAAAATTGGGAAAGGAGTAATTGGCGATTTCGAAGGCACCTTGTGTAGCGTGTCGCATCTCCAAATCGGATCGGTCGCGTCGCGTATTTCGTGTCAAGGCAGGTTGATTGCGCTCGAATGGGGTGACACACTTGTTTATAATTAAATATAATTACATGATGAATTCGATATCACCACGACCGCATCACGAGCGGTTGATTAAGCATTCGCGCGTTTTGAGAGAGAGAGAGAGAGAGAGAGAGAGAGAGAGAGAGAGAGAGAGAGAAAATAAAACTCCTCGAAGATCTCTCCGTGAATTCGATAAAATTATTTTGTGTTGAGGGATTCGCAGAAAAAAATTTATAATAATGTATTAATCCAGTATTAATATCACGTAAGGTGATAATTCTCAAATTAACCCCGTTAAAAATGATTAAAACCGGATTGAGTACGGTTCTTATAAAATATAACATGTATTCAATTATTGTAGATTAAATTAGGGATCATTATTATCGAAACTCTCTGCTGAAATGGATTATATTCGTCGAATGTAATCCGAATATTTGCTTCAAAATACTCGCGAGCGTGATATTTCAATAATATCTCGTAAATAATCATATTATTCAAAAGTGCAACTGCACGCGCTTGTTTCGGTACAACAATACCCTTTATTCGCAGCAGCTGAGTTAATTGAAAAGTCGCGCGAGTGCATAATTAATCGAAACGTGTTTCAGAAATAAATTCTGCGGATATGCGCGCGGAAATTAGGGATAATCTAGCGCCAGTTTTCACGGATTTTGGGGCGAGCGACGCGGGCTTAAGTGACGACAGACGAGACGCGTTCAGCGATGCTAATTAGCGGCAGTTTTCGCGTACGCGCAATTAACGCGCTCCTTAAACATCCGCGCGACGAATAATATACCCGGCATTACTCGGCCGTTCCTTTGTCTTGATGAGTGTTTTCGTCCCCTCTGTGTACGTCTCTCTCTCTCTTTCTCTTTCTCTTTGTTTCGACTGGGCGAGAGCGTTGCTGAAGCGAGAAATCGCATCGCTGCTGGCCCACTTTCGGGACTACTTAGCGAGTCCGAAAGAATTAAAAAAAAATGATTAAAAAAAAAGAAACAATTACGATCTTCGAGGAATATCCGCCAATTGCGAATTAATCTCGTTTTTTGAACCCGCTCATCTTGTAGAGTATTGATACATTGAGACATTAATATATTATACACATTTGTAATATGATAGTAAAAAAATATAAAAAGAGAAATATCTTTCAAAATTATTTGTATCTTTGTCAGAGTCTTAAAAGAATTTAAATTTCACTGGATTTTCGGCTTACAGTTTTGATTCGGAAATCGAAAATTTAACTCGTCACAATTTGTTGTGCAACCGAGCGTTACTAATTTGAATACCAGTAATTTGCAAGCGGTCACCCCGATTTCGCAAGCGCATGACATACCCGCCGTCATTGTCTCGCCATTCTGCTACCCGTGCACAAAAGAAAAACAGAGGAAATACCTGAACGGAGTACATTGTTTCGTCGTTGACATTGTGAGTGTAAAAGAAGGCCTGATCCACCATGCAGCCTTCAGTTGAGAGAAATATCGATGATGTCGCGACGTGCCAAAAAAAAGAAAAGAAAAAGACGAAGACTCTCTTTCGAAGATCTGCATATTATTATATCTCCTCAACCCTCAACCTCCCCCCTAAATTTACCTGGAATTGTAATCTGATGTAAAGCACATTTCCTGTTCCATAATGTCCCCGATATTAGGTTAATATATTAACTTCGATATGAAGAATAGCCCGAAAGAGATAAAGAGACGGAAGTAGATTTGTATTGAAGACAAAAAAAGTATTTAAGCAAGGAGACAGAGAGAGAGAGAGAGAGAGGGAGAAAGAGAAAGAAATACTTTTAGAAGAGAGACGATCGGCTGTCACGCGTGCTGACAGCTGCATGGAAATCAGACGAACGTTTTTGTTATTTTGCTTATTGAGAGTCGAGAGATTCATCAATTCTTCGGAATGATCGTCACGAGCGGGTAGCGCGCGCTCCAGTTCGATAACGGTAATTAATAATTACCGACGTTGGCTGTCACTTGGCGATTAAGTTGAATGCCAAGATAGAGAGTGATCTATCATCAAAGAGACGAACGAAAGAGAAACCTTGATTCGGTGTGTAGCGATTATTACGTTCTTGAGCATGATAAGCAAATTTAGAAAGAATTTTCTTTTTATTTTGTACATACGCTTTTTGTTTACCTATTAATTGTTTTGTGTTCCCTGTATTTATGACAAAGAATTAGACAAAAATTAGATGATGTTACATCTAACGGTTTTGAATAAAGAAAGAAAAGAAAAAGCACACCGCACTATCACTGCTCGCTGACGATTTCAGTTTTTACGATTTAGTCTCGATCGAGAACATCGAGGTGCGAAATGATAGTTGTAAATTATTATTGCCGCGTTTCGTACTTCGCGTTCTCGATCATTAGAGAAAGCGAATAGCCGAGCAAGTAAATTTGATACGGATTAATTGCGATATAATAGTCTCGATTAATGTTCATTCGGAATTAAATAATTAATTCAATTGAATACATCCAGTCGTTTGAATTTAAACTCTTCAAATGATTTGTAAAAAGTTCTGAAAGATTTCCCAATTTTGTAATCAACCTTTACTCGTGCTAAATATCCGGGAATTCTGATTTCCGGCCGTAACGAGTTAGCTCGACGATTCGCACGTAGCTGTACGCTGTACCCCGTTATCCCTTCACTCGCCCTGCGATCGATCGCCCTAACTAATCTCCACGGTAATTAGATTATTGTCGCTTAATAATAAACTTCAAACTTTATACAAAAAAAATTTAAGTTCGTAATAAACGGAATGGCGATTTTATCGAGATTGTTTCAGCTGAAATACCGTTGGCTGTTTATATAGGGTGGTCGACTCGCTTTACCGCAGAAGAGTCGCACGTTTTTCCCCCTAGCCTAGCTTTCTCAGCCCCCCTCTCCCCCATTCCCTTCGTCGCCCCTCTAATGTCTTGTTCGTACGACTTGCAGCTCCACGGTGGCTCACCCCTCGGAATTGCCACCCTCTCCACACCAGTGGGAATAAAAAGTCTTCCCCCCGTGCCCGTCCCCGAGATAGGACCGTCGGACTCGAGTCGGTGACGACGACTCCGTGTCGCGCCCCCCGCGAAGAAAGGAGGATCTTCGCCAATCGGAAGATAGTAAATCACCGATAACAAGAAGAACGAAGAGGAGGGAGAGGAAGAATGGAAAACGGGGAACTGGAAGCTGCGGAGAGAAGAGCCAAGAGAGACAATAGACTGCCGCACACTGTAGCCTCAATTTTCGATTAGCTGATACGTATATATGCATGGGACATCGTGTAGGAATGCGTAGAAAAATGCGTAGGAAGTTTCGACTTTCGAAGAATTTATATTCTTCGATTTATACCAGAAATGCAATTTTCATATTGACGTTAGAAATTATTCTAATGACTTGTACCATTTTTTTTAAGTTGAAAATATTTTTCGCAATTGCTAAATTGTTGTAAGTGTTAAATGAATACGTGAATGAGTATTTCCGACTTTCGTGTAAGAACATATTTCGAGAAACTTAAGAGAAGATGGTCTTTCAGATTTCCTCACATTCTTCAAGAATTGGAAGGTCTTTCAATTTTTCCCTAGAGATATACGCCTCAAGGAAATAGAAGATTTCTTCCATTTTCTTTTGAAAATACATTTTTGGCTACTCTTTTTCGGATCTTCCTTTAACGAGCTATCTCTCCGGAACTCTCAATCATAATTTAATCAAAATCAAAATATTTAACAAAGTAAACAATAATTCTGTTTCGATATTTTAACTGAGATTTAATTTATATCTTAAAAATTTTTTGATAGATTACTAAACTTTCTTTAAATTTATGGAATATCGTGATTATCTGTATTCACAGAACTTTAGTAATACTCACGAGATCCGAAGAAAATTCTAAGAATCAATATTGACGACTAAAAAATGATTTAAAAGAAGAACAACATCACATGTACGTGTCAAATATTCTCCAAGGGAAGACTGACTTGGAATTTTATAAGAAAGCCATATCGTCGTTTTTCTACGCATTTCGCCGCATCCTGCATGTATATATAGCAATATATTATACGTATTATACATTGTATACACACACGATCGAGGGGAGAGATACATTTACGTACACACATATACACGCGCGCGCGCGCACGTCTATGCACACATACACATTAGCCAATTTAAAACACAAAGTAGCCAATTAATTCCAATAGAGAGCGGTGGGAGAGATTCCCGAGGATTGGAATCGCGGGTACCGTGAAAGCGGGAGAGCGAAGGGGTGGGGAGGGTGATATAATTAATTAGCTATTAAGTAAACGCGAGCGTCGAACAGACCGGGCCAGTCCTTTTTTTTCTTAGATTTTACACACGTGTACAGGTCGCGCTGGCCATTTTATGATCGAACACGCGCGCGAATGCTCGCGCGCGCGAGAGGGGAAAGTGCCAGGAGAGAGGGGAAGGAGAATTCTTGTCCTGATCAAGGATCCTCCGACGGCGAGAGATATTCCTAATAATGTCAGGCTGAACCGAATCGTCCTCGAAAGAATATTCCTCGAGAACGTTTCCTCGCATTGACGAGATTATAGCTCCGTATCGAATAGTTTTCGACAGGAGATTTTGCTCGAGGATGCTGCGAGACGTAAAAGGATAGCTCTGAATCGGCAAGATATCCCTCGAGTGTCGCTGCGAATAGATTTGTCCTTGAGAGAATATCTTCCGAGGACGTCGTCTCGGTAACAATAAAATTATTATTCCGAATTGAGTAAACCTTAACAGGATATTTCTCGAGGATATCTCGGGAAGGATAGCTCCAGGATCCGGTCGACCTCGATGAGATATCTCTGGATGATAGCCACGCGAGAACACTTGCGAGAAAATTAATCCTCGGTAAGATACATCGTTCAAGGATTTCCGAGGATGTCCGAAGATCAGCAGAGTGCAAAGTCCCCCTTCGAATTGTATCGTCTTTGACGAGATTATGTTTGCGGATTTGTATCCGCGGAGCGCGAGATATTCAATCGAGGATATTCGCACGATTTGTTCTCTCTCCGGTTGGCGAAAACTCGAAAACTTTTCCGGAAAAGAAAATTCCGTGTTTTCCTCTGATCTTCTCGGTTTGCCGAAGCGAGAACTAAATCTCGTGCGAACGAATCGATCATCCGCGAGCGTTCAGACGCGGCTCTCGATAAATCGGCAACAAATCGGCTACGAAGAGGAACCAAAGGAAAGGAGAAGAGAGAAGAGAAGATCGACGTGTCGAAGAAGAAGTCGTCGTCATCGATCCTTCTTGATGAAGCGATAAAGTAGTGTTAGCGACTGTAGGGATAAAAGGTGGTACTATCGGCACTTTTCCTCTCTAGCGTTAGCATTGGTAATGAAGCATTTGATTCCAATGAGCGTATTAGCGTATTCGCTGGAAATAGAGACTAATAAGTCCTAGATTGAAGTTGTCCTTCCTGAAATAGAGAAGGATAAGGTAGATGAAAATTCGGATAGACGCGCGATGAATGAAAATGCGGTAGGGACGGGAAGTGTGGGAATGTTACGGCGGCGAGTCGCAAACGCGGATGTTAAGATCGTAAATTCACAAGGAAAACGTAAATGATTGTGTTAACGGAATAGAATGAAGGTTTCTGAGCGCTTTTGTTGGTTTCCGAAAACTTTACATTCGGGGGGAAAATTAGCGGAGCAGATAGGCAAATTGTTTACAGAGTGATTTCGAAAGAATGAGTTGACGACTATAGGAATTCGACGAAAGAACTGAAGACGAAGGATCGGAAGGATTCCGAAAGAAACGTGTTAAAGGATCGTCGTTAACGCTCAAGTTGTTTTCGATGAAAATTAGTCGTAGGAACGATGAGGCTCGGAGCTTTTAACGACTCTTCTGCGTTTACCGCGACAACTCGCTGCCTCGATAGGACGAAAGGAACTCGGGTCCTGTTCCTTCGTAACTGTTCCCGATCCCACGTTCGCTCGTTCTCGTCTTTTAAGATCGAGTTCTCGAACGACGGGACTCCTTGGATCTCAGACTAGGAAATAAAAAGAGGAGTACGTCCTTTCGAAGGCATGCGCGAGCCACGTGTACTGATGTTCAACGACCTTCCTCGTCGCTGGCCGATCTCGAAAAATCTCGAGAATTTCCGCGTCGAGAAAACGATTTTCATCCATCTCGGCGACGATAATTTTTCCTCATTTACCTCGCGAACGCGAGTTTTTCCTCGCGCGATTGTAGAATCGCGATTTTTTCCAATAAACGCACTGCCGACTTATCGTGTGAACGCGATGATATCGATACGGAAAAATGAAAGCGGAAGAGAGAGTGAGAGAGAAATATATGAGGTAAAGAATTAAATGAATAGATAGCTAGAGAAATATAAGAGAATAAAACGGAAGAATGAAAATCGGGGATCAAAGCCGGCGTAATTTTTTTAGATTCGGCGTGAAACGGACTGCAAACGCGGAAGTCTGAATCCATTGATTTTACGTCTGGTCTAAGTCTCCGGTGAGAAAGATCTACGCGGAGGATCGAGACGGAAGAGAATGATGGGTCGTTTCTATGTGTGAATAAGTATCGGTATTATTTTTTATTACGTTGTAAGCGCCACTGCCGTACGACAGTAATTGGACACGCGAATCCGAGCGATTCGAGCGAATTTCGATAATCGACGGTCTTTTGTTCAAGTCTGTGATTGGATGCTAACAATAAAAAGTTTTAAACACATAATCATTTACAATCGATTTGATTTTTCTAAAATCTTCTAAATCTTAAATCTCTTCTTCAAATGATTGTTAAAAGAATTGGGATCCTATAGTGGCAGTAATTACCGACATTTAGTTAAAAGCAAACAACTTTTAATTGGTTTTACGGAATTGCAAAATTTTTTACTGAATTAAAGTACGCACAAAAATGTAGAGGACTAGGGTTGGTTTTACATCCAAAACGAAAAAAAAATTACAAATTTGGGCATATACAGCTGCCACTGACGACAATATCAAGAGACACGGTAGTGTCTCGTGCCAAGTATACGCGGAGCAAGACCGACCGTGACTCTTTTACGCGACGCGACGGGTTGCGAGTACTCGAGATGTTGAGATTTGCTTATACAAAAATACTGCAGTTTATATATACAAAATGAGATACTAGTCCTCTAGGGAAAACATTGAAGAACAATTCGTGCAATTACAACTACGATAGAAGTCTAGAAAAAAAGTGTCATGCTTTTAACTTTTATATATGCAAAAGTACATGCAGGTTGATAGGATAAGCAGTATTGCGTGTAGCGAGAGATGGCGCAGCAATCGGACAAGGACAGATACCTATAGTTAGACAAGGACAGATATAGATATATAACATAGAAAACAGTACAACTAGAACATGACATTATCGACATCGAAGAAGTTCGGCCTTCGCTATAGGATCCTCTTAAGGTTTTATTAAAATTTCATTCAACATATAAAATTATAGTATATGTCAGAAAAAAATGTAATTTAAATTAAAAGAATTTATTTACTGCATTTCAAGCGACCGTTTCGTCGAATATTTACACAAATATTTGATTCGAGTCGCACTTGAGATATATGATTGTCGGGGATCGTTCGAATTGCCTTCACCCTCATTTCAACAACCCTAATAAAATGATAATTTCGAGAGGGGTGTAGAAGTGATAGGACCGAGGCACAATAAATCTATCTAAATAAAACACAACACAAAATGATGCTATCCATCGAAATCATCAATCGAGTAATGTAATTAATAACGAGAAGACGCATAACAATGAAAAGCTGAAACGAATATTTTGATAGCAGAATATTGTGACGATGAGAAATATTGTGACTGCATACTTGTAGTTAAATTATTTTCCGATAATGTTTCGCTGACGAATACAGTGATTCTTTCCGCGTGACTACAGGAAATTCCGAAATTAACAACTATATCGTTTATTATCCCTAAATATTTTCTCTTCTCATTTTGTCGCGTGTCCGTAGGTCCCGTAGGGAATGCCGAAAGATGTACAGAAAAAACGGAAGGGCGCACATAATTACGTGTGATTTTAGATTAAGAGATTTTAGATAGCCAGTAGTAACTCCGACGATGAAATACTTTTAGGACAAAGTGAGAGAAAAATGGAAGTAGCAGCAATTTAGCGGGACATGCCTTACGTTTGGTTCTCATCTTAATGATAAAAGGAAAATGCATGTTTTCTCTTTTTACACATGAAGAAATGCGAAAATTTGTCGTTTTATGATAGCCACGCATAAATTAATCGTAGTCGTTAATTATGCGTTTAGAAATGATGTGCCGACTGTGTGGCCCACAAAAGAGAGCGCATTAAAGATTGGATTGAGAAAGCTTCACCAATATCGGTACCCTCGCCGACGGTATAAAAAATATAGCGATATCGGTTTGATATCATCGCGAATTACATTGCGACACAACGTGTGAAAATATTAACTGTTGTATGGCGTGTTAATGCTCTTTTATGAAAATATTTTCCTTTATCTCTCGTCTTGATTTTTCTTTATTTCACGCACTTTTCAACTACCCAAAAACTCGCATTTTACACTAAACGTGTATCTTCCACTTGTACATTTGTAGATTTATTAGATTATACAGTCACAAATTGATTTTTTACATATAAGAAAAGGTAATCAAAAAAATTAATTCCTAGACGAAAATGTTTTTTTTTTACAAACTTAATTTTGAAAATTTACAGAGAAATATATAGCAATAAAAAATTAAAAGACATCGAAACGGGGAGATATCTTGATGATAAACGCGGACGCGTTGAAAATGTGAAATAAAGAACTAAAAGCTGCGGCATTCAGCCGGAAAACGATATTACTTTGGGAATTGAAATAAGACGTTTGTTTAGCTCGCTGGATACCGATTGAGAGTACTATTTAATCGCGAGGCGTGTTGATCCGAAAATTTTTAACGAAACGAAGAATCGAGTCGCATTCTTTGATCCTTTCTAAATATTTCTATGCTAATGTATAGATATTTCTTCACACGCATACGCGATTTGCAGTGTCTATTGCTGTTACAGAACGATAGCATATATAACGTGCACAGCTGTGGCATAGTTGAGGAGGATGCGTTTATCACTGGGCGTTTTCGTCACGCCGATGGCCGATATTATATTCGTATACCCGTCGATACTGCAAATAACATCTTACGTTGCGTATTTTTCGTTGGCAACGTTACCGCCGCGTATTGCGAATGTTTAATACTTTAGGGCAAAATTCCGATCTTAAACTCTGAAAGTAACGTCGAAGAGACGTTTGCGCATCAAAATAATTTTTCTAATGCCCGTTCTAGACTGGAGGATGAGCCGACTCTCGGCTCATCCGCCTTCTATAGTGTACGTGACATAAACTATACATAAACTATAGATTTTTTCCCGTCTACACCACTCACTCGGATGAGCCGAGAGTCGGCTCATCCTCCAGTCTAGAACGGGCATAACGCTGAAAACAGTAGTTACTTTAATTAAAATGTTTTCATCTTGAACGTAGAATTTTACGTCACGATAACTTGTATATGCGATTTATACGGAATTCAGTATACCTCTGTGAAATTACATGTGTTTTATAAAAATCAGTACATTCTTTCTTCCGTAACAATCCGTTGATTCTTCGCTTCTTTCGTCTGAGATCCTCCTCTCTGTAATTATTATAACACCGTACCGTATCACCTTATCATTTTCGAGGTATGTAGAGCGTAGCGCGTTTCTCTCACTTCATCATTTGTAAATAAGTTATCGTGTTCATCGTGTACATAAAATGCAGGTTCATCAGGTGATTCGTCGCGATTGCAAAATGCGCGCTAATGCAAATGTTTTGTGTTCGAATACCTCCGTCGTTTATAATTTTAAATTGAAATGAAGCAAGCCGAACGACTTTTCAATATAAAATAAATAGAAATAATAACAAAGAAAGGATCAGTTAGAATCAACTCATCGATATATGTGGTGTGTGTCGTACACTCATTTAATAATTATTATAACCAAAGATCGATTTCTCTTTCTCTACTATCTGTGAACTTTAACTATTTGGATTAGTTATACTGCACCGCTGCGTTCCGCTTCGAACAATTTTTTTCTTGTTCTTTTTTTAATCACTTAATTGACTTCATATATTGAGAATTATCAAAGGTCAATTCTTTGATTTTAACTGTTCTGATCAAAGTTAGTGTTTGATGAGACTTTGAGGTTTTCGATTGACAGGTGATCTTTAATTAATACATACAGTTTTCTGGCTTATAGTGTTATCGAGGCAGACCAAAAAAGAGCTGAAACGTTGGACATCGTACATCTTTGTAATAATAATTATTAAAATATTACATGTAATTATACCTACCACAAAATATCTATGACACTAAAAAAATCGATCCTCCTGCTATTATTTATAGTTAAACTAAAAGAAATCAGATTAGAAATCGATGAATAATAAAGAAATTATTTTTGTCTTACGGAAAGATAATGTTCTAAATATGCATGATTACGGTTATAGCCGCTGTTAAATTTATATTACAAATGCCGGAGTGTTTCGACCGAAGTTTCTGTCGTATACTTTCGTTCAACGTTCCTTTCGAGCTTCGAGATTGATCCGGATACGTAAGCTAGAGATTTTCGAGCATGTGGATATGATAATAAGTTGATAATATGCGCGCATGGTTAATTAGTAAGTATTTTAATTCTTCCTCAGGAGTGATGACAATTCTTATTTTTTTCTACCTTTCATATTTTTAGTAAACAATTGATAACAACTGACGATTGAATTTAACTTTTATTTGCGCACATATATATTAGCACGTTCGATTCGATCCGTTTGAATCCCAGTATGGAGAAGTTTGGAGAATAGCGTTTCGTTCAAATTATGAATTATGAGTTATTGAAGACGATCTCGTTTTTAACTTGTCAACTTGATGGATTTGTTTACGATTGTTTGCGGCCGCGTGATCCTACAAAATTTTTCTAGACTGTTGCGACGCGATGACAAACCGAGAAAAAAGTGTGTGAACGACTTTTTTTATAAACATCCAGCGAACATAATTGCAATTCGTCGCCGAGAAAGACGCGCAATTCGCAAAGTTTTTCTATGTGGTTTACAATTTTAGTTCAATCAAGAACGAGCGAACGGGAAAGACAGAAAACCGGAAGTAAGACTGGATACGTATGTGTATGACATGTGTGAATATAATTAAGGACTAAAATCGGTATAATTTAGGTATAGCTTCTATTTCCTCCATGCAATTTTTTCTACAAGTTAATACGGAATAATTAAATGGCCAACTTAATGCTGTTTTAATTCGTTTAAAGTTCTTTAGAACTTTATTTCCTTTTAATTCAAATTTAATTTGAATTAAAATATTAACACAATGGAATAATATATCAGTCTCATAGCGAATCATCGTACACTGAGAAAAAAATGTCGTTAATTTGACTAAACTCGTTTAGTTGTAGTGATTTGTTTAATGCAAATATTAATATATTTAAATCAAATATACGTGAGTAATATTAAGAAATTCTGAATTTATTTCAATATAATATTTTTTGAATTAACAAATGTTAGCTTGACAGCCCGTGACCGCTGCATTTAGTTAAATCAAATAATATTTCTTTGAATCAACGATTTTTTTTTCTCAGTGTAAGTTCACTACTTATCGCAGGAACACCTTCTAGATGCAGAGAGGATTTGAAATCTTAAATAATTCGTAATATTATCTAGCGATTGTGTCGCGAGGATGAGAGAGATAATTTTCAGGCATGTACGAAATAGAAATTTTGATTTACTAAAATTGTACCGATTTTGATTTCCGTCGTCAGGAGGAGAAGAATATGCGATTAATGTTTCCTATTAAAAGTAGACGAATTAAATGACGAAGTTTGTAAATACGTAAGCTCGCTGTAGCTGGTCAGTCGGATACATTTGATTTACTTCGATACGAAAATTAATTGCGCATTCTTATACACGCATTTGTGTGTGGTCCTCTTAACACATACGTGCGCGCACATTGCATTTGAGACGCGAAAGTATACGCGCACGTATGCATTTTACGATG